CTGTTGCCTTTTGTTACTGATTATAATAAACGATTTTAGTTTAACGGTAGCGTGTTGAATGTGGTTAAAATTTCCAGTTACCGATTGAAAGTAGGTTGAGTAGTCACAAGTAATGTGGAGATTCTCCCGAACCTTTCTCAAGCAGGCTTCTCAGAGGCAAGGGGCAACAACTGGCGGACTCTGTTGCAGAGAAGTTGTCGCTTCGCCGAGAGTCGGCAGACTACCATACAAAGGTGACGGGCGGTGTGGCTGGTGTGGTGGCAAGTGCTGGTATTACAAGCACCAGGCGCGGGTTAAAGCTTTGATCAAATCTGGCGCAGGGCGAATGAGCCATGTCTCTGCAGTCGTGCTTCCACAATCCAATAACCACAAGTCTACCGACCAGCTCAAATTTGAATGGTGATATTTCCTTGAATGGAATTGAGGTGCGGAGCATCCCAAAAATTGCAAAAAAATGGCATATTCTTCATCCTTTTGTTTATTATCATCATTGTGAGCAGAAGGTGGAACAGTGATAGGTCACGGAAAATTGCAGGTCCTTGTAAGCTCATAGTTCGGGTCAAGTCTCATATCGAATGTTCTGTCCATACGTTTGTGCTAAACGGCGGAATACCGGAAATAAAGGGGCACTACGGCGGCATCATATTCATAATTCCCTCTATCTAACTTGCATATGGAATTGAAGCCAACTATTTGGGCGGAAGTGGTGTAGTGGCAAGTGGCGCGCTTACCACGCGAGCGGTCCGGGGATCAAATCCTGGGTCGTGAGTCGCCCGGGCCAACCAAGCCTTCCATCCCTCCGGGGTCGGTTAATTGGTACCAGACTTGTCTGGGAGGATAAAAACACTGACTTGTACATCGGCTGCCCCCGCAAGTCATTGTATAGGCCACATCGCATTCAAACGCCACTACGAATGTACAAATGGAAGTAGAATGCGTGCCGCATCCCAAAAAGGGATTGATCAACGGCAAATGCTTTATCCTTTATCCTTATTTAGCTCCAGTCTCCATGGGGTTAAGGCCCAAGACTTAGGTGATAGTAGCATAAGCCTACTTGTCGGTAACGGTCTCTTCTTGTCAGGGTAAGTGACAGCATGGATTTGCGGCTGTCGCTGACTACTGCCACTGGACTTTACCAAAGCGACGCTTACTCCGAAATGGTGCACCTTTGCTGTTTAAGACTTGGGAAGAGTATGCCACCTGCTCTGGAGAATTGCACTCCACTATTATCTTTAATGTTTCCGAATGGTTTGAATCAAGTGCTATTGCCGTCCTCCACATGCCACGAATCGAAATTCATTCGCCCACATAAACGGAGGTCCAACATGATTATCGTATGTTCCTTAAGTATTTTACTCCAACGCATCGAGCATATTGCGCTACCTGAACTGTTCTTTATTCTTATCCGTATTATCTACGCATTATTGTCCCATATGGTGAAATGTACGTATCTGCAATTTTAACTTGCCTTCTCATCACATTTCGACAGCCTCCTATTACGAGAACTGAAAAATACAAATCCTGAACTGAAGAAGAAAAAGATTGCGACAGGTTTGTGGCTCATGCAAATTGACTTTTTTGGTTAGTTATTGGCAACTGTTCAGAGTTTTTTTTTAGAAGTATATCTCCGGCTGGGGTCCGGGTGGTCAAAAGGTGAACACGGCTCAGAATGCTGTTCAATTGCGACATGTTCCCACCTGGCCTCGTTGTCAAGGTAGGTGAAATGCGAGGTATTACATATGGACAACATTTCTTATTCCTAGACATACTGACTAATGGGACCCATCGCCCACGAATACCACTTTCCACAAGGACGGCGGAAGTTGAACCTCTCTCAGGTCAACCGCCCCTACTCATTTTTCTTTTGTACTTTGTGGAAGTCTCTGGGAGTCTAGTCCATTATCTTTATTTTTTTGATGGATGCAAAGCAGCACCTCGATTAGTTGTGACCATTTCGGATTGGTGAAAGTTCTACACAAAAATTGTTTTCCTACTCACAAAAACTCACGGGAAATGTTTTACCTGGTTTCCTGGGCTATTATTTAAGGGTGCGAGGCATATTCTCTAGACACTATCCCGCCTTTTCTTATCAAATCCACCAAGAACAACGAAACGTCTCGATTTCTCAGCTAGCTGTATTGGGGCCCAAGCTACGAATCGGCAGGATACAAAAATTAAATTCAATGCTGATCGATAGGCTTTTGGAATGAGCCACGCTTCTACTTTTGTTCAGAATCATGTTGCCATATGTACACATGCGATTTGGCCTACACAAAGAGCCCTGGAGGCCAGCCGATGTGCAAATTCGTATTTTGTCGTCCAAGTCGAGCAAAACTACCACGGTGTGGAAGGCTTGTTTGGCATGGGCGCGGTGCCAGCCGTGATATGATTCTCGAATCGTGGGCATGGTTATAGGCACCACTTGCCACCATACCATCTCCGCCCTCCAGATATGATAAACATAGACAGAGTTCATGTCAAATTGTTGCTACTGATTTCTAGTAATCCATATTCGAAGGCAGCTTTTCATGGGCTAGTTGTGCTCCTGATCAGGAATAATATTTACTTTGTTATCAAAATGGCCGCCTTGGGTCGGTAGCACCAAGTACCACTAGTCCGTTCTACGGGTCTAGAAGTGCATGTGACAGGTGAAAAGGAATCACGGTGAAGAACTGTGATTTTCGATCACAATTACGATTGTTTATACAATTTCCCACTTTCGCATTGTTTTTCTTTGAATTTTAGAAAAACGTGTGATTGGGAACGAAAAACAGTGAAACTTCCTCTTTCGCAGGTGCACGAGTCACGTCTGTTGCCGAAAAATATCGAAATCGCTTTTGAACGAATGAAATTCGCATTGGATCGGCATGTGAATGGTGATGAGTGTTACGAGGAGCAGTTCAAACGTCTTCAAAGGGAAAAGGAAGCAAAAGCCAACAGGAAACGTGAGCTGCATCGAAAGAAACGGAAAGAAGCTGAAGAAATGAGCGAAGGGTCCACTGACGAGTAAGAAAATGTGTTAATGTATATATGCCAAAATATCTCGTACAGCTCACAAATATTTATATTTTGCAAACAAATAAATGAATAAAAATAGCCTGTTTTCCTAGAATTCACAAAAAATAGTTAATTTTCTCGTGCTTCCAAACTGCTTCTGCAAAGGAAGAATAAATTGCTGGGAGCAATGCAGTGGTTAGATCCCACCCGAAAGTTCCGCATCCTTCACTGCTTTTATGCCACCCAAGTGTTCATCCCTAAAAGTCGGCTAAGTTGTCGATTGCTATGTTGGTGAACGGTTGCGCGAACCAGGTGTTCTCAGATGAATTGTACCTTCTCGAATATTTTCACTTCTCTAACTGGGGATCAAGGTTGCGCGGTAGGGGGGATGTCCTTAACAATCATAGTTTAGAGGAGGGTTTCTCGATAAGTACGAATGTCAAAGAAGGGGGAAATCACAGAGGTGAGGAACAGGCGCACCTTCTAAGGGTGCTGACCGCCGCACAATGGCAGCGAAAGACCGCGGTTGGCGGGGTACGCCCACCGACTATCTAATCACTCGCCGCAGGTCTATACGTGGCGAGTGATTAGATAGCAGAGAGCGTAGTGTTGAAGACAGCGATGAGAGTCGCATCAATGCGCAAATCAACGCAAGGAATGT